AGGTACGCCTTCAAAGGGCCACACAAGGATGGAGAGGTGATCTTCTGCTCTCTGTGTTAGCAGTGTTAGTTGGCTTGGGGAGTAATACATACAGCCTCTTCATCCCCAGTAGTGACTTTGGTCTGTACATGAAATCACTGGAGATGAAGACTTCTTGCTTTGCATCATTATTGTACACATGTTTGTGTCAGCATGCTTGGCTTTTAGCTCCTGTCTGTCACTCAGAACACTCAGGTGTTCTTACAGAATGCTAACTGTGCTCCATTCCAGCTGAAGAAATAATAACTGAACATGCCAACAAATTGTCTGCTGTCACTGATGAGGCTTGTAAGTGGCTGAAGAAAATGGATTTACAGAGAATAAAGGAAGAAGGTATGTTTTGAAATTACACAGATTTCTGTGCCCTCTAGTGGTCTCTGTTTGGTAACGGTCTCTTAGCTTTAGTTGCTTCACTCCCCTGGTCAGCAGTGCTGTGGATATTCACACAACAACACAGAACTTTAGGCAGTGATAAACAGGCACTTCCACAGGGGATTAGGGAAAGTGTGAGGTATTTGGTCTTCCCTCACAGCTGACTGCAGGGCGACTCAGATTGAGCAGAGCCCTACTGCTGGCACTCAGTTTGTCCCAGCCTGCATGGAGCATGTGTGTGTGTGTGTGCATACAGCTGTGTGTGTAGCTATGGCTCAGGGGCAGTCCTAGGATAGAAACCTGAGCGAGGGGACAGAAGAGCAGCTGTCTTCGTTTTCACCTATTACACCTGCTTTTAACTGTGCTTTGGCACTGTTTTTATTGGCAGTTAAGTGGTCCTCGAGTACTTGAAAACCAGTGTACTGATAAAACTGATCTTCAGCTTGGTTCTAAGACCTCTGTGAAGTAAAAATATATGCAGTTAGATTTCTTTTGGTTTTGGTCATTTCACTTTGTATTAGATCAAAAGTAATATGCTTGGATGCTATCAATTGCATTAGAGACTTTTAGGCAAGTTTAAGACTTCATTGTGCCTACCCATATGTTTAAGGATAAGCACATATTCTAGTGGTAGAATTGCAAGAACTGTATAAAAAAGCAGAAATAAAGTGCTTACAAGTTGCACGGTATGTAAAGTACCAAAGTGACTCTATTTTAGAGAATTTTATTGTGATAAAGCTTTGTGTTACAATTTTCTATTCCAATAATGACAGAATGATAAGACTGCATGAGAATGCTCTCACGGTCTTACAAGCAACATTATACCCTGTCACTCCCTCTTTAGAAGTCAGTAAGCAAATGTATTTACTGCTGAAACTGAGCCTTGAGAGGGGAAAGACGCTCTTCTTTAAAAAGCCAAAAGCTATAGCATCAAAACAGATGTTGAGTGTAAAAATAACAACTAGAGCAGCAAGGCGCTTTGTCATGTAAAACAGAATCACAGAATCACCCGGGTTGGAAGGGACCCCAAGGATCATGTAGTTCCAACCCCCCTGCCTAGCAGGGCCACCAAACATACACATTCAGATCAGGTTGCCCAGGACCCCGTCCAACCTGGCCTTAAACACGTCCAAGGACGGGGCATCCACAACCTCCCTGGGCAGGGACACAGCAAAACACAGCACTTAAACATGACAGTATGCGTATGAAGATATTTTGCTGATATAAAATCCTAGTGGTAGATCTTGGCATACTATTAAGAGAGAAAAGATGTCATGTCTTTCCAATTTCTTGTTGTTTTCTTTTTAAATACAGACTCTGTGCATGATAGAGACTTGGAAAATGAAGTAGAAGATGAAAGCATGGCTTTTGAAGAACTTGCTTATAAAAAACCGTCAAGAAAAAAAGGAAGATGTGGGAAATGGTGATCAGAAAAAATATGCAGCTGCTGTCCTCTGGTAATCTGTCCTCTGGTAATTTAATGTTAGAATAAAATATTAGGCTTATTAAAAAGAAGAATAGAGTGTTGGGGTCAGAAATTGTAAGAATGTGAAGAAAAAAGCAACTTGTTCAGTTGTTAACATTTCTGTCAGAATAATGATTTGTGCTGATGATGTAGCTGATAGAACCTATGAGAGGACTGATTTCCTTTCACATCTACATTGCTTCTTGAAAGTAACCAAAAGCCAAAGAAACCAGCAAGTAGGAAGAAGCAGTCATGTTTTGGCCTTATCTCAGGGGTATTTTTCTACCAAGTCTTCATTTTTTTTTCTTCTTCTCTGTTAATTGACATAATCATTCTTCTGAGCTGGAACACTCAGAGAAAAAGACAGCTTCTCTGATTTTAAGAGGTTTTAATTTCTGTTTTTAGATTACCATTGTAAACTTACTGTCCCTTGAGTCTTGTGCTTGGAAATGTTTAAGTCGCCAGGTGAGGTACTTGGGGTACCTCTCTTCCATATTTTTATAGACAAGAATGATCATTCCTAAGCTTGTTCATGTTTGTTTTTTTTGACAATGTACATACTTCTAATTAGATAAGCAAGGAAATCTTGAAGTTTCTTCTCTTTCATGAAGTTTTGATATAAACTGTTACCTGTACGTATTGAAATATAGATAATCTCTCTTTTAAAAGTATTACATGGTGTTTTATAAATTTCAATCAAAGAAAGCCTTTTGTAATGTTCAATAACATTTTATAAAATTTGTAAGATGGTTAAAACTGTGTGATTTTTGTCTTATTTTTGAATGCTTTGGGAAAGCCACAGCTGACTGACCAACCATATGAGCAGGGCACAATTTGGGCCAGAGTATCAGTTCACGATGACACTATTTCACTTCTGGGACTTCAGCATCTCCAACGTGCTCTCATCTCCTCATTTTAGATGGATTTGTATGTTACACGTGCGTAATCACAGTGTTAATTAGTTGTTGAAATATTATCTCTTGAAAAGGGAGCTGCTTGTATACTGAACAAATTGTTTTAATAATTACCTTTTGCCAAAAGCTCAGGAGCTGGCTCTTATGCCTGATGTTTTCAAAGTGGGACAATTTCTATGGATCAAAATGAAGTGCTGCTGAAGAATGGAGCAGCGTGCGCAGCAGTGATGGTTTTCTATTGCATTGTAAGTGCTGTTGTGTGCCAGAAGACTCTTTACTAAGTGCTGCTTATTAAAGAAGCCTTGTTGCTTAAGTGTCTAGAAAGCGGTTTAAAAATACTCATGCATGAAATGTAGTGCTGGTCATTTGCACTGTAGAAATCAAGGATTAGGCAAGCTAGAGCATTCATGTAACATCATTGGCTTTATTTTCTATAACAGAATGTATTTTGCATTTGAAATCACTCTTAGAAATTTTGCTGATTAGTTTCTTGACCTGAGTGTTTACTCCAGTATTTACTCATTTGTGGCAGTAGATGTTACCTACACTTTCTAAGGTAATTACAGTTTAAAACTCCTCACTCTTCAGTTTAAAGATCCAGGGATTGTATTTTTTCTTTCCCTTTACAGGAAAAGGGAAGCTTTAAAAATATCACTGTAAAACACTAAGCAAAAAGAAAGCAAAGAGAAGAAAGAACAGAAATTACATTGTGTTGATAACTTCATTTGGAGTACGTTTCTTTAGTGCAGGGACCCGAGATCCTTGGTCATTGGATTGCTGATAGCCGAAATTACAGGCAATTTAAATTTCAAACTCACAGTTTTAGAGACATATTAGACCAAGACGTGAGCAATATTCAAGCTGAAAAGGGAAATTTAGTTGGATTTCCTGTCTAGTGACAGTGCTTACAATTTTTTTTCCTCCAGTGTCATTGCGCTTAAATAAACACAGACCTCTCTTTTCCACGTCAGTCTATTCAGATAATAATTATCTGTGTGTGTTAATCCTGTTTGAGTGTTTAATCAGCAAAAAGGGATACACCCTTGGCTTTTCACTTACTTAAGAATCCTTCTGGCCCCTGGTGGAAGCCACAACGTTCTAGACCAGCTAACAGCCTTGACTCTAAGAGGCTTAAGAGCTGTGACAGATGCCTTGGTACATGCAAGATGCATGTTGCACTGAAACCCTTGGAGTTGAGTAGTGGATGCAGGCTGTCAAGCTGATCCACCCACTTCTGCCTGTCTAAACCTTATTGAGCTGAAAAGAATTTAGAGAAGGCTTCAAAAGTACAGAAACTGATGGCTTGAAAATCTCTTTCCCTGGGGATACAAAAATGACATCAAAATGAAAAAGAAGGAACACCCACTTAAAATAGTTGGAAGGTAGCTTTGGGTCTAAAATTCCAAATACCCCAAGAAGTAAAAGATCTCTTATTTATTTGAACCTCATATTAATGCTGGGGGATGTGTGGTAAGTGAGGGGCACTTTTCAACTTTTTCCTGTACACCTCTTAAAAGCATTGTTGTATAAGTGTGCACATAATTTTATTTCAAAACACTCTTCTGGTAATCATCTGTTAGAAACTCCAACTCAGCAAGACATTCAAGCACTTGCTACGTTTTCAGTATTTGCTTTCATTCTCGCAGGGAAACCTATTGCCTTTACGCTCACAGAAAATGTAGGAGGAAGGAAATTGTCTTAGTGTAAATAAAATAGAAGGTTTTCCTGCCAGCAAACCCTATGAAGTTATTTGCTCCAAACCGATTGTGAATCCCCCTTCCTTACAGGAATGGGGACAACAGACATTGCTGCCTGGCTTTTGCCTTGCTCTGGGAGCATTTAGTTTTTGTGGAAACCTTCACACCCACAGTTACTAAAGCATCTGCAGGTCTTGCTGTGTGTTGGATTTATGGCAACTCTGTCACTCAGGCTTTCAGTTAACATGTAATGCAGAAATCTATTAGCAAAGCACAAGGCAACATACATACTCTTCACTTCTTTATCTTGGTATAGTTGATATGTCAGTTCTGCATGTCTCACCTAACACCCATGAAGAAATGCATAGGTGTGTGGAAATGTACTTCTGCAAGAGGTTGTGAGACTACCAGGGGATCTAGCCCAGCCAGCATGGGTTTTAGTCCACTGACACTGCTTTTAGTCCACTCTCCAGAATGTGTTGTGTATATTTAAATAATGTCAGTTTTTCAGACATTCACAAATTACTTTTAATGCAGTTTTCTTTAAATCTTGTAGCAGTTAGAGCTTGCAATTCACTTTTGCAAAGGGATGAATTCAACTTCACTGAAGCTGTGTCATTCAAGTTCAGTGACTTGTGCCTCTCTGCAAGCTATTAATTGTAATATTTGGTTGTCCTGTGCTAGAAATGCATTATGAAATTGTGAGATTAAGGTTTTGTTTTGTTTTGCTTTCAAACTGGGATAGAACGTTTGAGTGGTTTAAAAGTTGGCAGTTTCCATAGAAATAGGTTAGAGCAAAACATTTTAAGGAGATCTGCTACCAAGTAGTCAGTTTAAATAATGCTGAGCTCTGAGATGCTCCAATATCATTAATGACATCCCAGTCAAAGTCACTATCTATATAGTTTGGGGCACTTTGCATGCACTGTATTGCCTTTCTCTCGGGAAGTTTACATTTTTAGTAGTCTTAAACAGGGTCCCTAAAAAGAGAGGAGCCCTTGAACATAGAGTTGCCTAAAAGGACACTGAAGCAGAAGTGGATGAAGTCGCTTTTTCCCATTAAGAAGATGCAAGATGCAGAGAAAAAGGGCACTAAGAGGAGAGCTGCTGGCAATCTGAAATGGTGTGTGTCTGCAAGAGGCATGTAGAAAGGAAGATACTGAGTAAAGGTAGGTTTCAGATCCCCTCCCTATCTTTGCAACTGAGAGTGGGGGAACCAGGGAGCCGGGGTGTCTGTAGTGCACAGCCTAGAGGCTTGCATTAGTCTCTCCTTCAAAAGGACAAATCAGAGTTACTTATTTTCATTTAGAGGCAGCCAAATGAGACTTAGAGGACAAAACAATGATGAGTAGTTCTGTTTTCTGGGAAGTCAGGTTTTAAACTGGCCTCTGCCAGGAGGATGCTGAGCTACATGCTGATATGCCTTCAGCTACTGCTGAAGATGAGTTAATGAGGGGTATTTTTGGCCGAAGGGAGAGTGAGGAGGGACTCATTTAGGAAAGGAGGATGTACACTCTAGTTGCAGATGTCAGCACTAGTAGTCCTGCATTTAAAGCAAACCAACAAACTGGACCTTGAAAAGAGATCTTCAGCTCCTGTGTCAGTGGGTCGTGTTTGTGAGGGTAAGGTTGAACCCCTGTTCTCTGGTAAGAGACTGCAGAACTTTTTTGTTGTTGCCTCAGGTGGAGATACCAGCAGCCTAGAAGCCAGGCTCATCCTCTGCTAAGCCTGGATCCCCTGTTTCCTGGGAGAGCACTCTGATTCAGGGACTTGTCAATGGTGACCCCTTCCATGCGTTGTAGGGAGACCCTCATTCTACTGCTGTGCACACATTTCTGGGAGTGCTTCACAGGGTGGAGGCAGAAGCTGAGAAGGAGCTGCCTGCCTTATGGACCTGGCTGGACTTACAGGTAGGTAATTTGTTGAACTACTCAGCCTTGTCATAATATGACATTTCTGCATGTTTAGGAAGAGAAGAACTGGGTCGTACCAATGGTGATGCAGCCCAGTATCTTGGTTTTAGCATTGGATGATGGCTGATTTTACCCATTTTCTTCAAAAGCTCTTTCCATTTCCTCACTCAGTTTGCTCCTTGACAGGATCAACTATGATGTGAGGTTACTTTCAAGACTAGGAACTCCTGCACTGGGTCCAATAAATGTGGGTATTAATACTGCTTACACAACTCCATCAGTTGTTGGAACTGTGAAGTTTTAGGACAACTAATCCTTTGCAATCTCTTTTTTTTTCTCCTTTAAAAGTGATGCAATAGCTTATCGGTGCTGTCGTATTCATTTGAACCATGATTGCCAGACAGATAGAAAGCATTTAAATCTTTGAGCAAATCATGCAGAACTATTTTCCACAGTTCATAGATATAATCACAGACAAGTTTCCTTACAGATGTATTTTACGCCATTACAAAGAACTCTTGGCTTGAGACCTGCATAGAGAGCAGAGGGAATCAAGCTGAAGTGCATAAGGAAGTAATGAAAAAGCTATAAGCTTCCAGTTGCTCAGCTTGTCTTGGTAAATAAAGTGCCTGGGCAGCTCTCACAGCTTTTTGACCCTGTCACTTTGGATGTGTTTCTATTCAGTCTGATGCTGTTCAAATAAGATTAAACGCCAGCTAATAGGAAGGACTTTCCCAATATGTTACATTCACAGTTTCTCACCACTCTATTTTGGCTAGAGGAGTCACTGATGCTTAAAGAATGAATAAACTTGTAGTACGATGAGCTGTACCTGTGAGCCAGGGTATTCGTAGCTCTGCAGCAGTCTTGTTGCAGTGGGGAAAAGGCTTTGTTGTGTGGAGTAGTTTTGTGATGGCAATTCAAACTTGCTCTCTGTTTCACAGAGCTGTGAACAAGGGTGAAAGGAGAATACTGCCTTTTTCCACCCTTTGCTTTAAGGCTGTAAATCTTTCCTTTTCCCTTCACCTTTCATTTTGTGTTTTATCATTCATAAATTATTCTCTCTACCTATTTTTCCTGGGGCATCTTCTTGAATCTTTTGTGGCTTCTGAGTTGCCAAGAAGTCAATGATGCTGAAACTTCAGTAAGTAGTGCTTTGGGCGATCCCCTTTGGCCTGGAGGAGTTGTGACTTGAGCAGTGGTTGGATTTGACTCAAGCTTGTCCAAAGCTGGGGTCACCAGTTGTCTGGTCATCATTCCCCAACTGGAAACCATTTCCTTCCAGGTGTAACAAGCTTTAAATAAGAGCTGTAATCATCTGGAAATACAGCCTGTGCCTCTAATTGGCATCAGTAATACATCTGCTCTCTTGGTTGAAGCCTTTTTATAGGAATTGCTAGAGCATAATATGAAGAAATTGTGTTCTTCGGAAGGAAAGGACACAATCTTTGTCTGACCAAATCTATGGATCTCTCATCTCCATATTCCTGCTAACAAAACTGGGATGAAATTCAGGAAAAAATGCCACTTCTTCTTGACATTTATCTTCCAACAGTCCCCGTTTTGTCCTCTGCTAAGGCTACTATAAAACGAAGAAGAAAAATACGGGATAAAATCTATCTAGGTTGCTAGAGCGTTATACATGCTGGAGAAGGATCGCTCATTTGGCCAATCACCCTCAAGAAAGTCCCAAATTGTACTTGCGCACTGCTTTCCTTCAAAGGAAGAGGAGGCATTTCATTCCAGGAGGAGTACCTGGAATTAAAGAGGAGTACCAATTTGTCATGAGACTCGGGGCTGCACCTCGAAATTTGGAAATGGTGAGGCGTATGACTGAAATGGACTGTTTGTGATGGGGAAAGAGAAAGCAAAATAACCTTAATTGTCGGATATCCTCCGCTCCTTTCTGTTCCCAAGAGGTAGCGTGGAGATGATCAGCGGTGAACAGCATGTGGGATGTTAAAGCCACCTTTTAGTCAGCACCTAATAGAACATCTTTAGAAGTCTCTTCTTCCACTGGGTGTTAGCTAGGAAGCAATGTCATACTTCAAAACGAAGCACTTGAGCAGTGGGTGTGCATGGAGGAGAGAGTGAGATCATGCTGTAAAAAGTGCTCACATTTTTAGCCAGACAGTACTCCTGCAGCAAATAAAATCTCTCTCTCCGACAGATGGAGGAGAGGAGAGTGGGAGGGAAGTTTGGGAGCGCGCTTTGTCATTTCTGTTCACTCATCGCTTTGCCTGCAGGGGACGGTGCAGGAAATACCGGGTGATAAAAGGGTGGGTTAAAAAGTGCAACGGCATCAAGGAGATATGTGCAGCTCTTGTAATTATGGAGCAGATCTCACCTGGGGCTATCAACATGCTTTGCAAACATTAGGCAGCTGAGCTTAACGGTGTCCCAGTAGGCATGAATCGATCACTCTGTTTAGAAATAGAGAAATTTGGGAATGATGTGATGAGGTTTAGATGCACAAGGATATTGATTGTAGGGCTGGACCTCATCTGATTGGCTCCCTCTGCTCTCAGTACAGGACCTCACTCTTGATACATGTTGTTCAGACTCAGACAAGCTGCCTGGCATTAACACAAGCAATTCCACATGTGCCTGACCCAGCCTTCCCCTGGAATACACCGTCACTTATTTTCCCAAATCAAGCTTAATTTATCTGTCACTTTCATTAGAGCTGATGACTTTAAAGCTTTCCTAGAAAATGAGTTTTCAGTAGAGAAAAAATCACTACGTGAGGGTATCTGTGCTGTTACAACCTGCAAAATCTTAACTTTTCTTCTCAGAATTTGTTTGAACAGGAGGATGGGGGAAAGGGTGGAGGAAGGAAGTATCTCTGATAACTTGTTGCAATATAAATCCATCAGCTTTCCACAGATAGAGCATTAGGAAAAGGTTCCTCACCAGAGGGGGTGGGCATAGCCCCAAGTGCCAGAGTTCAAGGAGCATCTGGACAGAGCTCTCAGATACAGGGTTTGAATTTTGGATGGTCCTGTGTGGAGCCAGGAGTTGGACTTGGCGATCCTAGTGGGTCCCTGCCAACTTGGGCTGCTGCTGCAAAGATGAAAGGTCAGTACCATGACTGTGTGGAGATGTGTTTGGGTGAAATGTTCAAACATGGGCTCAGAAGGACCTGCAAGTTCTGCTGTTCATCTGTGCTTGTGGGAAAGTAATGTTCTCTTGGCATTTTGACTGACGTTGACAGTACAGAACTGCTGGTGAAGGCCTTGGGTCAAGGAACCCCTAACTTTCTCTGTGGCCTTTAGAAGGAATTGATCATAGTGTCTTAGGAGAATGGGTCTCTCTATATACAGTGATTTCTGAAACAGAGTTCCCCAAACGAGACTTGGCTGTTTTTCTCTGATAGGTGTTTACTCCTGTCTCACAACAGCTTGATGTTCTGATTGCTTGATCAGATATCCAAAGTGGAAACAGCTCCTGGGTTGGTGCTTTCTAATGCTTATCTCTAAAAAATCAGTTCTGTTTGTTCCAGCTTCACTCAACTGGGCTACCAAAATACATTGTGCAAATATCTGGCATTCATCATCTTACTAATTTTATAATGGCAAACTATTTGCATCTCAAATGCTGACTCATAAAGCAAGGTATTTCACTGGAGCTGAAAGGGAAACGACCCTGCATCTTTTCCAACTTGTTTGTCATTTCATTTTTTCATCCCTCTTTGGGGATCTCTGTCCTACTTTCTGTCACGCATATTAGTGTTGGCTGATTGATATGAAGAGATACAGAGCCTTGAGCCAAAACAGTTTTACAAACAAACATAGATTTTTGTTTTCATCATTTATTAAAAAAAAAAATAAATCTTCAGCAAAATAAAGAAGTATTAACTGACTGATGTCCACGCTGACTTGGGAGTGGATTAACAAAGGAACTAAAATTTAAGTTTATTTTTCTGCCTCGGTGAGAAAAGGTAGGCTGAAAAAGTGATGGCTTCAAAAAGAAGTGCAATGAATGTTTTCTACTAGAATGTGTTTATAGCTTATGACATATAACAAAGCCTTGAAAGTAAGTAGTTAACCTCCTGTGCTTCTGGGCATCTTGAAGGGCACATGGTCAGAAAGAATTCCTGATTCAAAGTTTTTACTTCAAAATATCATTCAATAAATATTTTGTATTCATAATACTCTGTGTAATTATATTTAACTGATTAAAGCATATTGTAATTGGAATTTCCACCCAGATTACCTTAAATAATGAATAAAAAGCAATCCCCTTAGAAATGAGAAGCATTATCTGCTTTTTTCCTAATAGAATGCAGTCTAAAAATTAAGATACCTAATTATACATTCTTCTAGTTATCAAAGAAAAAGCACCAGATTTAGTAAAAACACCTCACTTACTATCAAAAAAGCATGTCTTAATAATTACTAAAAATGAGAATCGATCTTCAGAAAAAATAAGTAAGTATAACAAATGTGAGCTAAGAATAAAGCCACATTTTGAATCAGGATGTGTTCTTTGCTGAACCGAATAATGTTAAAATTAGCTTCTGCAGCCTTACCCATATGGTACCTTTCTATTTGAGCTCCTGGAGGCTTTGTGTGGATTTGATGATAGCTGCGTTGTTGAGTTTAATTTTGTTAGGATTTCTCTCTGATATCAGTTGAGTAATGAAGAATTAACCGCTGGTCTCAAATGATGCGTGACCTCAAGCCTGCTTCTTTCTCTTTTCCATTCAAAGCACACTACAGCTAATATTTCCAGCAAATGTGTTAGGCCCTCCAATCCTAAGTGCATGGCTCTGCAGTGAAATCCAGAATCCTCAGTTCAGACATGCACGCAATTCAAATACAGCATAAGGTGCTTCAGGATGTGACCCAGTGCAGCCACTACCCTGACTTATGAGACCACTAGAACACACAGACAGCTGCCTCAAGTGAAATGCGTGGAAATGCTGCAGAGGTGAATGAGGCTCCATTAGATTTGCCTCGGTCTACACAGGATCCATCTCTCTAAAGTTCCATCCT